AATATGATCTTTTGCGACATAAGAAAGTTGGTTCGATTATCACTCGTTTCCCCACTAATGCCACGCCACATCATTGCAACACCACTAATTGGTAGCAATAGGGGGTCATATGGCAACCTTTTCGTAAAATGGTTGCAATATATATGTCTATATTGCAACGGACTAAATATGTTGCAATACGTGTGGTTTGTCATTGCAATCAACCATTTTAGAATTGTGTTGCAATTAGTTGGCATTATTGCCATGGCACTTTGGAGTTGCATTAGTATTGATTTTCGTTGCAATTACTTTGTGTTATTGCAACTATATTCGATTTGGTTGCTTTTGCTTGTCACTATTGTCATGGTTATTCTGGGTTGCAATAATTTCAGTGTTGTTGCAATTGCTAGTTGGTTGTTGCAACAAGAATTCTGAATGGATGCAATAGCATGTTCCTATTGTCACAGTTTTTTGGGTTGTAATAATCTTATGTGGCGTTGCAATTGTTAGTACTTATTGCAACTATTATCATGAATGGATACAATATCCTGTTACTATTGCCATGGTTTTTTTGTGTTACTTTAGATTAATGCATTTGGTGGGGCTTTTCTTTGTCTAGGGTCCAACAACATGCGTGAGCATCATGTTGGTTAGAGATGCGCGTGGCTCTCCCCAACATTCAATCTCTCCCTAACACACACGCGCTAGAGGTAAAATGACCTCCCCAACATTCAATCTCTCCCTAACACACACGCGCTAGAGGTAAAATGGTCATTTTACCCCTCACTTAACATCATTAAGTGGCTGAAATGGACGAAAGGCCATACAGGTAAGGGATTTTCGTTTTCGGACCTTATAGGTATGTTTTTTTTTTTTAAAAAGTCATGAAAGGAAGGCATAGTTTTTGCAGGCCATATAGGTAGTTCTCTCGAAACAAAAAAGCACCAATAGAGGACATATATAGCGGTTCCTAACTAAATTTTTGTGTTGCAATTTTGTATACTGCATCACTTATTGGCTATTGCAACACAAAAAATTTGTTACTGTAACACTACGTAAATGTTCCGATAGATTAGTAAATGTGTTACAAACTATCCATTCTACCATATTGTGAAGTGTTACCAGAGGAAAAAAGAAAGTTTTACAATAAAAATCAATGTAACACTAAACAAATGTTCCTATAGACAAATAAATATGTTACAATAAACCAATCTATAGTAACATGGCCAATTGGAACACAAAAAATAATATGTTACTAAGAGAACTGGTAACACTTTTTTCAATCTACAGTAACACATATCTCTGTGCTGTAGCAGTGTTACCCGGCTATATCATTAACAAGGAGGAGTTAGAAGAATACAATTTCGTTATAAGCGTAAGTTGCGCTGCCTGTCGCAGCAGGGGGGGGGTTTGAAGGCCAGGAAACAGTAGCTAATTACTCGCTAATGACATTTCTACCAAAACGTGGGTTGAGGATCTTTCCCCCCGCTATCGACCAAGCGAAACACTCGTCCCTCATCTCAGCGAAGACCGCATGTGCCGGCCTCTGGAGTCCCTAAAAATTATAGCGTTTCTTTACTTCCAAAGAAACGCTATGAGCCATCTTTGTGCCCTTGGTAGTCATACTGTAGAACCAGTCCTCCATATCGTCCAGTGAGCGGGGTGCAAGTTCTGACATCCGCTCCAAGTGGAAACGAGACACCAGACTTCTCGCGAGAACGGACACTCAATGAAGAGGTGCACAGCCCTCTCTAGATTCCGCTCGCATAGCGCGTTATTTTTCCATTCACGAAGCTGTAGGCGGACCACCGTCCAGAGTCTATCTTGTAGCAGCAGCTACAGGAACATTTTGCATCTAGGAGGTGCCCAAGCTTTCCAAATTAGAGTGGGGATGCTTGATGTTACATGGCTAGCGAATTGGATGTTGTAGGCGGAGGTAGCCGAGTACTGTCGCGAGGCTTCAAGCGTCCATATTATTTCATCTTCTTGCTCGTCTTGCATGTTCAGTTGGACTGACTGCAGTGCATTCCACAGCTCAAAAAATTCATGCAGTAGGTCGTGGTTCAGGCTGTAAGCTATGTCTTTAACCCAGGATTGGCTATTAATAGCGTCCCTTCTACCCGACCTTATAAAGGCTAGGGGATGATAGGGCTTTAACCGGATCTGTTTGGATTCTCTCTACTGACCAGTTCGTTGTCTTGACTTAGACCAACTCACAAAAGCGAGGTTAATAGGCCATAAATGCCGGATTTAAAGTATGAAATGAACCTGGCCGAAATCTGATCCAATTGTCATATATAAAATATAGCAACATTTTTTTTTAATTTGTTGTTATTTATCTTTTTCGAATAAGTACGTTTGTCAAAAGTTGTAAGCATGTCTGTACCTGGAACGGTAATGCTTTGTTTAGGACTTTCGGACGCCTCATTCCCATCTGGACGCAACGAACCGTCCACACAAACAAAGCAATCTGCACGCTCCGCTCGCCTCGCTCCACACACGCTGCTCGCTCCCGCCCGCCGCGCGCCCTCGCCTGCGTAGATTCGCCCAACCAGCTGTAGTCGATTGATGTCGCCGAGGCGCAGGGCCACGCCACCGTCTTGGTCGCCAAGTTCTTCAGCCACGCTGGCCTCATGTTCTTCTGCGCTGCCATCCTCGAGCCGCAGCGCCTAGGTAGGCCTGCCGCGGCAGGGCGCCTCCATCCAACTACCACGGCAGCCTCCACCGCGTCAGCCCCTCCACCGCATCGGGTGTTGCCATCCGTTGCCACGGCCGCCTCCACCGCATCAGTTCGCCGTGCTGCCCGTTGCACTGAAAACAAGTGTTGCAAACGTATGTTCTTGATGTTTCAGAGGTATGTTGCAAATATTTCATATGGATGTTACAAAAGTAGATCGGGATGTTACATATGTCGCAATGGTTTGTACATGTATGTTGCAAGCATCTATTTCCAATGTTTCATATGTTTTCTGGACATATGTTGCAAGTGTGTTTATCTTGATGTTGCATATGTTTCACGCATATGCTGCAAATGTTTTATCTGGATGTTGCTTATGTGTTGCAATGGTTTTCAATTGTTTTTCACGTATTTTTGCAAGTGTTTCATATGCATGTTTTAAGTGTTTCATCTGTCTTCTTTTATATGTTGCAAGTATTACATCTGAATGTTTCAAAAGTAGATTGGGTGTTGCACATGAGATTCGCATGGAAACTGGGAGGGAGCGCGAGCGGTCGGCGTGGGCCTCACGTGGCTGTGTGAAATATAGGCACGTGCAGGTGACGTCTGAGCCGTGCGGGCTCTCATGTGGACGCACGAAAAGGAGGCACGGAAATAGACTGCAGCCGCGGGCGTTAGCAAAGCCGTACTTGGAAATAGAGCTGGGATTGTCATATTTTGGAAGTGAAAACAGATAAAATTAAAATCATGGTTCATTTGCAAACTTATTCAATTTAATGCATTACTAATAACCTTAGTGCGTTATCATAAAATAACTTTTCAATTTTGCATCTCACCTTTCCTACTAGTGTTCATTGTATTCATGGCTCATATAGTAGAAAAATGTTTGGCCTAACCCATGCTACCTATTGGACTAGAAAAACCATAATTTTTAGGTGAAATGGATCAACTTAATTATAGCCTCTAAAATTGGACACGAAGCCACGGGGCCATGGCCAGGTCAGGTCAGCCCATTGCCATCCCTACCTGGCTCCTTGCTACTGGAAGAGCCAGAGAAAGTAAAGTCGATTTTTCTAACTTTATTGATTTCTTGTAATTCATTTTGGAAAGGGAGAGAAAATTCTTTGATACAGAGTATAAGATTCACTAGAAGGCGGAACTGTTTTAGGAGAAGCCATACCAAATACTAGGACTATGTACATATTATCTTGATTGTGCATTTGAGACTGCCACTTTAAAGGTCTCTTACACCTTTCTTGCCTCGTCTGTATATTCTCAGTCCCGACAACATGACCGCATAAAATAGTGCATAAGTATATTGCAAAATAGCCATTGTCTACTATATATCGTTGTGCAAGTAATCATGACCACTTCTCTGTATGTTCTCTTGTTTTATCCTCTGTTTCGTGCAGGTAGGCAGGTTTCACACATGCACCCAAGTCCCTGATGTCGCTTCTTCCCAATTTGAATTTCGTTACTGAAGTCGAAAGAACACAGTACTTCTAATTCAAATGTTGTGCCAGAGCTACCGTTTCGAAATCCGATCATGCGATTCCTGTAATGATGTGAATGTTGAGCAGTTCCATACAGTGAAGCTACTATAAGTGCGGGGCATTTTGAACAAATTTACTTTTCCTTTGGTAAATCTAAAGAAATTTATTCATCTCCTTCGTTCCGTATCTAAATTAGTATTAGTCGTAGGTCCTGCCGCTGCCACGCACCTCCTATGACTGCCCTCTACCTTCCCGTGTGGCCGGCGGCCACGCCGGTGACCAGTGGCTGATGGTGAGGTAGAATTAAGGATCGGAGGGGCAATTCAATTGTTACATGAAGACAAACTAAAAGTATATTAAAAAAAGTTTTACAATTGCTAAGAGCGAGGAATAGACAACTAATGTGGAGAGGGAAATTTCAGTAAAAGTTGCAAGCAAAAAAGCTTTACAATTGCTAAGACCAAGGAATACACAACTAATATGGAGAGGGAAATGTGTGCCTGCGTGCATGATAACATGCAGATTTTGGAGAAGTAATAACAAGCAAAAAAAGCCTTACAATTGCTAAGACCAAGGAATAGACAAGACAGGGAAATGTGTGCCTGCATGCATGGTAACATGCAGATTTAATCAATAGAAAACTTCACTCGTCAAGGGGCCGGGGGAGCAAACAGTTTGACCGCCACTACCCTCTGTCCCAGCCGGCGGCGGGAGGAACCCTTCTAGTTTAATCTTAACTAGTTCATCACGCGACGCCACCGCGCGCGACGGCAAGGTAGGAAATGAGATACCTACATTCTAAAGACCACATGGGTCTTGCAGAGAAATGTTAAATGTGTCAGTGCCTAATATTAGCGGGAAAACCACAGCACTTCATAAATTTCCTGCATCGATATTAATTATCGTAGAAATTTTACTCACACATATGCATGTCATAGGAACTTTAATGATTTCAGCATATATATGTTAGTGTTAGCCACACTGTGAGCCAATAATAGATTAAAAAAATAAAGCTCCACAGCTTGATAACCTGATGGTAATTGACTCAGCGAGGAAATTGCAAGTCAAAGTTATGATATTCACAAAATATATCACGGCATTGCGCCGAAATGGCAAGTGACATGATGAGCATTAATTGTGACCAATTTTACCTTCCTTACAACAATAGAAGCTAAGCAAACAAAGCAGCTATCAGCACCAACAAAATCAAAACGCATAACGCCATTAACAAGGCAATCACTTCACACCCCCCAAAGCAAGCTGTCATACTACACAGTCTGCCACCTTTAGTGAAGGTTCTAGGTAGGCATGCTTCTTAGCTCTTACTGAGTACCGATTAACAATAAAAGCGAGCACTATGTTGCAACGTGATATGTTTGCAGTAATAATTGGCACAACAAAAGCAGAAAGAATAGCTAGTCAATATTACTAAGTACTGACGTTTAGATGCAATGCCAGACCTGAGAATTTGCTCCAGCGTGAGAAGTCCACCATTCTGCCGCATCTCGGCCTGCACAGACCCAACATGGCGATCCATGACGAAACAGACGTGGCCGCCGACCCTGACAACACCATGGAATGCGCACACGTTCCGACACCATGTGGAGGCGCACCTCAGCCACTTCACCTCCTCCTGAACAACCTGGAGCCCGTCCCCTGCGGGCAGGGGCACCCTCTTCACTGCCACCCGGTGCTTGCACCGCTTGGCCGCGCCGCCACCACCTCCACGAGACAGCGTGCCGGCCCACACCTCCTGGCCGGCAGGCCTGGGCGGGTCGCTCCCGACGCGGCGGGTGAGCTTGAAGTCCGTTTGCGAGGCGAGGTCGAAGGAGCTGCATCTCGGGAAAACCTGTCAACATTTATCGTCACTCAAGGTTAAACAGCTGGACTACATTTTATGGAGTATGCAAAAATAACCAGCTGATTCACATCGAGAACCAAAACATTGCTACCAGGAAATGCAGCAAGCAACAAATTGCTAGTTACATCTTTAACGAAACTATGCAACGGAACAAGAAAACAGTTCTCACAGTAATAAACTTACATAATGCAGAATGATTTCACCATGATTACCAAGACACTACAGTAAAAGGAAATCATTCTATATTATATAAGAAAAGGAAATGAAGCCACGCTTGGCATGTGATGCCATCCAGGCTTCATCATACTGCAAAATAGTGCAGCACAAGCAACACTCCAAGCTAAAATACATTGAACACAAGAGCTACTACAAGCAAGCAGAACTGGCAAACAAGCAAGCAGAAATATATTCTTCAAGACAGAAGAGACTGTAGGGCTTGTGCAAACATCAAGAATGGAACATATATAGCTTACCAAAAAGCCATGTCGTTAAGTGATGAAATTACTTGCCAATAGATAGCTTAAAAACATGCAACTAAAAATACAGATTACAAAGCAGTTCAGCAGCAAAGATGGCAACGACTATATACAGAAATGGTCCAATTAATATAATTTTTTTGACAGAGGTAATAGCCAACTTTTATAGAAAGCAGAAGGAAAGTGTCCAATTAATGTACCTACTTTCTACCCAGCTGGGCAATCTCAAGGTTCAGCTGATTAGCATTCTCAAGTTTATCTGCCAAAAAGGAGAACTATGATTTACTTTAACAGTCAAATGTCATTAGTAAAGAAAAAGAAATATAAAGTTCAGTTGTGCAACCTTTAGGAAGATGTATCCCTCCTTTTTCAAAGTCAATGCGCAAGGTAGTTGCTGCTCTTCGAGCTTCCTCTGTGAGCAGGACACTTTCACCCTCAGCTTTCAGTATAGCATTGTACAAAGTAGTGTTTGTATTCAGGGACTGCAGCGCACTACAGGAATCAAAATGTTACTATAAATTGATCAAGTGATCTGATTTCACATCTTTTGCAATTAGCTAAAGGATGGCAAGGTTTCACAAAAGTGTTTGACAACCTATCATAATACTTTACGATCACTATATTATGCAGACATGTTGATTGTTTAAGCCATTATTACAGATAACAGTCCAAGTCCATATCAAGCAATGTTCGATGTCAAGCTCACCTGAAGATGCTCATAAATCCTCATTGACGCGCTATCTGCCTCCTCCACAAACTCCCTGGCACACACACAATAGGATCAGTCTAGGATTGAATCTAGACATGTGAAACTAACAGAGATCATTATCCATGTAAATAGGACAAGGTTCTATTTTAGGTTTGAGCAAATTCAGGCAGCGCGGGAAGGGGGCTGAGCAAAAAATCCCCTTTATCTCCTTTCCTACCTTGCCGGCCATCGGTGGAGGCCATGCAGCAGATCTAGTGGAGACGGGGAGGGCTCGCGCTGGATCTACCTGCTGGCCGCAGATCCACCGCCTCCGTTGCCTGCGCGAGCTCCAGGCCGTGGTCCATCTTCAGATCCGCCGCCAGGATGGGCCCCACGGGCGGCCGCTCCAGATCCACCGTCGAGGTTGCTGACGTGACCTCCCCATCGTCATCCACGGCCAGCGGAGGTTCCTCCGCCGCCAGAGCCCTTCGGCACGTCAGGGCCTCCGCTGGCTGGCCGCACGGCCGTGGGGACGACCGGCGACGGAGGGGCGAAACCCTAGGCCGCACGACCAGCTGGCTTGCGTCATGACGAGGAAGTGGCGTGGCGGTGGTGGTGGTGGTGGAGGAGGAGGAGGAGGAGGAGGAGGGAGGCCGCCGCCGCGCAGAGGTCCGGCTACCACCGAGTTCGTCCCGCGCCGTCGCTTGAGCCGGGTCGCGCGTGGGGAGCGGCGAGCATCGCGGAGAGGTGAAGGGAGACGGGGTTCGTTCTCTCTCTTCTGAGGATACGATGGGAGGCTTCGAGATATTCCAAGGAGGGCACTGTAGGCGCCGGTGGGAGCAGCCTGGACCGTCAATCGAAGAATCCAACGGATGAAGTAATTCGGGTGACGTGGACGGCCTGAGAGGTGGCCAAACTCCCCTGCTTTGATAATAAGAGATACTAACCGAAGTAGTTTGTGTTTATATTGAACAAATTGTGGTCTATGGGTTATCAAATGACATTGTCTTTGTCGATTTCGTGGTAAGTCTTATTTCTTGTAAAGAATTCTAGTGCGAATGCCTATCTAAGCGCTAAGTCCTATGTTTTCCCAATGTTTTGTTCCCCGCATATCACTGGCTAGCTTGGTTATATTCCCGTGATGGATGGGAAGTTATTTGGACAACGTGATGTTTCAACATATAACTGGTATTGGTCCTTCTAGATTTGATGGTATCTTGATTATCTTCGATGACAAGGTGGTTGAGAGTAAAATGCATGGATAGTCCACTAACTTGTGAGGCTGTGTCGATTTGGTCCATCATATTTGAAAGTGTATTTTTTTGTTCAAAATCTTGATCAGTGGTGCATAAAGAGTTCACACCCCTTCGTTTTATGTTTATATTTGTAAAACAAAAACCTATATTTCTTTTTCCTTCACAAGCTTACCCTCTTCCTCCTCCCGCTCTTCCTAGGGATGCTCGCGTGCTGGGCACCGGCGCAGCCGGCCACGCTGCACGAGCGCGACGTGGCGGACGCCGCCTGCGTGCTGTCGTCAGCGGCCAAGAGCAACGAGTTCGCGCTGCAGCTGGGGCCGGGCCACATGGCGCGGGACACCTTCCTCGGCGCGCGCCTCGCGTGGACCAATGCCGGCGCCGACAGCCTCGTGCTGCGCGTGCGCCGCCACGTCCAGACACGCGTGCTGCGGCCCTACCTGCAACACCTCGAGTCTGTCACCGACGAGTTGGAGGCACGGCGCTGCGAGCTACGGCTCTACGCCAATGCCAGTGCCGGCAGAGCCGCCGATTGCGGTGGACGTCCGCGCCCTTCACCCACCCGGCCACGCTCGACACGGTGGCGATGGAACCGGACCTCAAGGCCCGCGTCCGCGCCGACCTAGAGAGCTTCCTCAAGGGCCTCGCGTACTACCACCGCCTCGGCCGCGTCTGGCGCAGGAGCTGCCTGCTCTACGGCGCTCCCGGCACGGGCAAGTCCACGTTCGCTGCCGCGATGGCGAGGTTCCTGGGATACGACGTCTACGACATCGACCTGTCCCGCGGCGACTACGATGACCTTCGCGCCCTGCTTTTGGACACCACCCCGCGGTCGCTCATCCTCGTGGAGGACCTCGACCGCTACCTGCATGGCGAGGACTGCACGTGTGCTCAGCTTCATGGACGGGCTCTCCTCCTGCTGCAGCGAGGTCCACGACAAGATCGAGCAGCTCAATAAGATCGCGCACACCGATGAGTTTGGGTTCCTCAACAAGGCGGCGGTGGTCACGGAGTCGGACCTGGAGGAGGTGACGAAGACGCCGCCGCCGCCGTAGCAGCCGAGGGGTCGCTGTGGACGCTCTGCACAGTGACGCAGCTGGAGGAGCTCAACACCACGTTCGTGCAGCAGGGCGGCGTGATGGACACAGTGCCGGTCCTAGGATTTTAAGGGCCCTCCGGCGATCTCGTCGTAACGGCCCCTTTTAACCATGTATAAAATCTTATAATATATAGGCACTAATTTTACTTGTAAAATGAAAGCAAATTCAATAACATATTTTTAATTTAACATGCCTGATAATTATCGAGGAACAATGTAGATTAAGCAATATATTTGTAGGTGTATGATAATATATCGAGGAACAATGTAGATTAAAAAAGCAATATATTCATTTTCTTTTCTCACCCATGACAAATGTTTCTTAGGTAATATTCTCAAATTCTAACACCTAAATTAGAAGAAAAATATGACTATATGGATACAAAGTACTAGAAGTCTGGAATACTATACAAATAATTAATTTGGATTAAAAATAAAAAGAAAAAAATACCTTGGGCCTAAACAACTGATCGGTGATCGCAATTCGTAAGAAGCCAAGAATCAAGATGTCGTCGTCGTGGAGCCCTGCCTAGTCGCCGTCCTCGTGCACCGTGTCTGTGTCTCCGGTAGTCTAGCTCTTCACGGCGGCGCGGCTCGTCGGCTCCGCGTGTGTAAGGCGCACGTCACGAACTCACGATCAAAGTGTGCTGTGTGCAGCGTTACTCCTCGCCTCCTCTCTACCCGAGGGCCGTGGGGAAAGGAAACTAGGAAAGAAATGCCGACGTTGTCTTTTTGGGCCGCCTGACCAGTTCTATGTATCTCTTCTCATTAGTTTGCTAATGCCTAATAGACTATAGGACCTGGGTTATACCTGGGCTTGGGCCCCTCCTCCGCTTGGGCCCTCGGTCGTCGCACCTCCTGCCCTACCCCTAGGGCCGACACTGGATGGACATGCGGGTGATGTTGCTCACCGTCCCGGCCACGTCCATGGTGTCCTTCGAGGTGCTCTACGCCCTGGTATGGGTGCTCATCTACGGCGCCATGATCGTGCCGGCGCTCCGGGCCATCTCCCCCACGCACGGCAAACTGTCGCAGCTGCAGTGGATGGGCGCCGGGCGGCTGCTCATGGCATGCGCGATGGCCGTGGCTGCGCTGGTGGAGATGAAGCTCCTCGACGCCACGTGCCACGGTGAGTCCATCAGCATCGCGTGGCGGATGCCGCGATACTTCGTGTTGGCCGGCGGGGAGGTGTTCTGCTACATCGCGCAGCTGGAGTTCTTCTACAAGGAGGCGCCAGAGAAGATGAAGAGCATGTGCACGTCCTTCGCGCTGCTCACTGCCGCGCTGGGGAGCTACATGAGATCGCACATATACGCCATCGTGGACGCGCTCACCGCGACCGGCGGGCGGCCCGGCTAGATCTCCGAGAACCTCAACGAAGGTAAGCTTGTGAAGGAAAAGGAAATATAGGGGGGGGGGTTACAAATATAAACATAAAACAAAGGGGTATGGACTCTTTATGCATCACTGATCAAGATTTTGGAACAAAAACTGCACTTTCAAACCTGATGGACCAAATCGACGTAGCCTTACAAGTTAGTGGACTATCCATACATTTTATTCGGTGGTTGATGTTCTTTCAATGTGTCAAATACGTTCATGGAAGTTCTCATCGTATTAGATTATGAGGTGTTTTAGAGGTTAGGGTGATTCCATGATGTTGGTCTTTAGCTTCACTGATCAACATATCAAAACTAGGCAGTCGTAGATGATATGGATGGGAGGTAACAAATATTATTAAGAGGCTGTGGATTTACTTAGTGTATCTTTCTTATTGTCTAGAGATTTTGATATAAATATGGATATAATTGTGCTCTCAATTTAATAGAATCCCTTCTTTAGAAGAAATTAGTCATGGGACAATAGGATCAAAGTTAGAGCATCTCCAAGAGTTAATCTCACTCTCTAAATCTTTATTGGAGAGTCATTTTAATAAAAATCGCTCTATATCCACTGACCCTCCAACAA